TCTTTGGTAACTGTCTGATAGTTTCTTCACAATTCTGTCTGTTTTATATTTTTTGAGTGATTTTTTTAAACCTCATAGTAGAAAATTATTTGTATTATGCAAAAATTCTCATTGATGGTTTTCTTCTTTAAATTACTGCAACAGATTACTGTTGCAAAAAAGTTATAGCATGTCAATGTCCGAGTTCAATGGAAAACCCACTACAGATCAGCAGCACGTAAGAACATTGTCCTGCATGGTTCAAAAATGTTTTGCATGAGACTCATCTATGTCTGCTGCCAGTTTAGCTCAAATGTTTTCATGAACACTGCATTGTGCATACATTTCTGTATTATTATTATTTTTCCAGAAATTTATTCTATTCTTGAAATCATGTATTGATATTTAGCTTGGTGTCATATACTCCTCTTCTGTCTTCAGATGCGCTGCTGAAGTTTCTGTGTCCCACCCCTGCAAATCCTCCTGTCGCCTCCACCTCAGCCGAACAATTAAGCAGTGATGTAGCTGCAGCATCATGCACTCCTCCTGTTGGCTCCACCTCAGCAGCACACCTTAGCAGTGATGCAGCAACATCAAGCACATCTTCTGCTTCTCCAATAGACCCTGCTGACTGGCCATCTCCTCTAACAGATAAGGTACGTACAAAGTTGGTTCACAGAGGTCCATTTCAAATTGAAAATAGCTTCACATTCCCTAAACAAAAAGATGGACGAAGGTGTCAACATGACATTTTTAACAGACTCAGTCAATGGAGAAAAAGTCAGAAGAAGCTGGCTTATGTATTCTAAAAAAGATGATAGCTTGCACTGCTTCTGCTGTAAAATCTTTTCTAAAAGAGAGTAGAAACTGACTAGGGAAGGACTAAAGGCTTTGAGAATCTCTGCCACCCGTCCTGTTACAGTGGCTGCAGCTGAAAGCTCAAAATGATTAAAACTTATTTGAGATCTACTATGATGCAAGAACGTCTCAGTGGACTTGCCATTATGAGCATAAATGTGGTCTCAAATCAGTTGTCATTTGAGGATGTTATTAGTGACTTTGCTGCAAAAAACCCAGGAGAGTAAATCTGTATCAGGTTATGTTAGGTTCAGGACATGTGGTGTAATGTCATTGATAACACAGTACCAAAAAACACCACTAGAGGACATTGTTAATCATCTTTTGGGTGAATTTTTATTGAAATCCTAACTTGTTTTGTTTTGTAATTCTTTCTGGATACTGGTTTCTTTAATGCTTTATTTTGTGTTGTTCCTTATTTTTATGGTATTTATAGTTTTTTACTTTTATTTTTGTAATATTGAAATCTTCCTTATTTTTATGGTATTTATCATTTTTCACTTTTAATTTTGTAATATTTAAATCTAATGCTTTTAGTTTAGTTCATTTTATTTTATATATTCAGTTCAAAATGTTTATATTTCTACGTATTCTGAATGTGCAAATGGCTTTTTTTTTCAAATAAAAAGAACATCTAAGACAAAGCTATGTGGTTTCTTGTGAGTATGTACAGTCGCAGTGGAATTTACTGCAGTGTAAGGGGGCGCCACCTATAATCTTGCCTAGGGCACCAATTTTGTTTGGGCCGGGCCTGGTTGTGAAGGAAGAACAGTTCTCAACAGTGTGATATGAGGGTGTAGAAGGTGAAGCCGGTGCAGGTTCTCCTTCATGTTCACCATATTCACACTGCTGACCACCCCCATGTCATTGCCGCCACAGTGGATGACAAGAACATCAGGAGCTGCTCTTCCATGCATGGAGTTGAAAAAGAAGGGGAGAAGGTCTTTCCACCTCAGTCCGCCCCAATCGAACCAGGAGACACGGACGTCAGGGAGGCCAAGGTTGTCTCAGAGGGTCTCTGCAGCTCTCTGGGCACCACGCCTCACTCAGCTGTCACCGATGATCCAAATGGCTATGGAGAAAAAAATAACAGGTTTGGCCTAGCTGTTTAAAGTACAAAACCATACATGAAGTGGTCAAGACAGGTATTTGGAACTTACCCTTGCTGCGTTGTGTAGCTGATGTTGGAGACACATGCTGCCATGGTGACCTTTTAACAGATCTAAGAAAAAAATGTAATAAAAGAATTAAACTTAAAAACTCCCAGACCTCATTTCATGATTGCTAATCAGCTATGGCTGATTTATTGTTTGGATCACAGTGAGTTACACTAATTCTAATATATTTTTATTTCTATTACACATACATACTTTTTAACTGTTATTTTTACATGACTGTTATCAGGCTCTCTTGTTCTGGTTCTCATGATAATAATTCTGTTTCTTCCAGTAAGTTATCTTGTGCTTACTTCATCTGTATAATGTCTCTTTACTTTTGGTGAATTGTACTGAGTCCAGAATAAAGGCTAGTTGGCTGTACAAGATACAAACAAGTATTACGTTTTGGAAATATATGAAATGTATTTAGCCTGCTAATTTATCTCAAATACTAATAACTACCATATTTTCCGGACTATAAATCGTACTTTTTTTCATAGTCTGGCCAGTCCTGCTACTCCGGAGTGACTTATAAAACAAAATATGTAGGCTACAACGCGCTGCTGCGGGCCGGCTCCAGCCCAGGAATGAGCTCTCCTCGCCCGCCGGGAGGGTTTGAATCACCGCCATCCTCTGCTGGAGACCGTGGCGCGCTGCTGCGCCCACGTTGTTTTTTCTGTTATTGTTACCGGTGCTTGTCTTGCAATGTGAAACGCTTGGTCTCAGGTTTTGTAAGAAAAATAATAAAATGTCCCCCCAAAATACGACTTATATATTTTTTTCTTCTTCATTATACATTTAATGGCTGGTGCGACTCAGGAGCGACTTCTAGTCCGGAAAATACGGTACTGAAAACTTGCTCAAAGCAAAATATATTTTCATTACGGAAATAAATTATAAACTTACCGATTTAATACTTTTTTAATCAAGGTACTTTTCACTAAAAAAACGCCGCAAACCTCCACCTAAACTTCGTGTGAGCTTCAGGTCGATGGGTGTTCCACAGTTTGCTCCGGTTGGGTTGAAGCTAGGTAGCTACATCCGTTAGCTTAGCTCCCACCTCTGCGTTAGCTTTGGGTTAGTCAGGGTTAGCTTCAGGTTAGCTTGTAGCTAGTTCGACCGGGTGGCGTCAGTTGATCCCAGCCTTACAGCCCACCCTCAGCTCCTCCTCTCTTCCCTTTTATGGAATTGTCTGGGCTTGACGGAACCTGTGACACGGTCAAAATGGTGGTGGTGGCCACCTCCCATTTATCTTCAAAAACTTGTTATTGGAGCCTATGGAAACCCATTGTCCAATATTTATATGTCGATGGCCCCAGACAAGCTGGTTCCCAAAGTCAGAGACTCTGTTGGTCAGCTTGCTTCTCACACCAAACCTTCCGTCAGAAATCTTGATGTGACCTTTGACCCAGCTCTCACCCTGTATTCTCATGTCAATTCTCTTGTTCGCTCTTCCTTCTTCCATCTCAGGAACATTGCTAAGCTGAGTCCCATTCTGTCTCGCTCTGAACTTGAGACTGTTGTCCACACCTTCATCTCCTCATGCTTAGACTACTGTAACTCTCTTTTCACGTGTCTGAGCAGAACCTCCCTGAACCGTCTACAGGTGGTTCAGAATGCCTGTGCTCGGCTTCTGACCAAGTCCTCCAAACACACCCACATCACCCCGCTTCTCCTCCAGCTTCACTGGCTGCCAGTCAACTTCAGGGTTCATTTCAAGATCCTGGTTCTGGTCTATAGGGCCTTACATGGACAAGCACCATCTTACATTGGTGATTTTCTCAGTTCCTACACCCCCAGCAGGTCCCTGATGTCCAGTGATCAAAGCCTACTGGTTGTGCAGTGCACCAGGCTAAAGACCAAAGGTGACAGATCATTTGCTGCTGTGGCCCCTAGACTCTGGAACTCTCTCCCCCTGAGCCTGAGATCAGTGGACTCAGTGGTCTCCTTTAAAAAGCAGCTGAAAACTCACTTGTTCAAGCTGGCTTTTGTATGACCTTCTTCACCACTCTCTCTTTATTCTGCCCTCCCCACCTATTCCACCTTCCTCAGGATCCACTTATTTCCCTCTTTCCTATTCACTCTCTCTCTTTCTTAACATTTTTTAATCACAATTGTCTATTTTTTGCTCATTTTAAATATATTCTTAACCATTTTCTAAAATCTTTTTTTATTTTTACATTTTTTGTTTTTGTGAAACGCCTCGTGATTTTTATCTTGAGAGGCGCTATAGAAATTATATTTTCTACTGACCAGTTGGCGTAACTGGACAGTACTAGAACTCAAGAATTCAGGAAGAGAATTCTATTTCATGCGCACCCCCCCCCCCCCCCCCCCCCCCAAAAAAAAAGAAAGACCTGCGACCATGTGTGAAATCCATGGCATATGACCAATGGGATTGGAAAATAATAAGTTTTAGCCCGATTGACTTGCATCCATAGTCCGGATGTAGGTGGGCGTGGCTTAGGCTCCATGTATTTCTAGCTATACTATGTTAGAAGGTGAAGAGGTATGAAAATATGTTTTAAGTTCATTTTTTATCCAAATTTTCCATTGCAGCTTTAACTTCAAAATAACAGTAGCTCAACACCACTAATAAGTAGAAGCTTTCAGAAACCGACCGAAACTCCAACTTACAGCAACACACACACACACACACACACACACACACACACACACACACACACACACACACACACACACACACACACACACACACACACACACACACACTCACACACTCTTGTCTTGCATTCATTGTGAGACTTAGAATAGCCTTCCATTCATTTTAGTAACTGAATTGAAGTCCTTGCCTTGACCAAAACATAATTCACACAATACATCAAAGACTAATGAGTAGAGTTCTGTAACATTGTACCAAAGAGAGGCTGAGGCAAAATGTCCTCACTTCACAACTAATGTCCTCAAGTTACAAGTGATACGTTTGTCATTGGTCCTCAGGTTGATGTATTGACAAGTAAAGACACACACACAAACACACACCAGTGAGTTTCTCAGCATTTTATTTGTGAGAGCTTGTGTTTGACATCTCATTTAATTGTCTGAGTTTCGGTCTTGGTCTCTCCATTCTCTGTGATCTCTTGGGTGACAATGACGACCTTCCGGGTAGTGGTTGATGTGGAGGAGGACGAGCTGCTACAAAGAAGACATCAGATCATTGATCCTACATTTTTATGCAGGACCTTACCCCTCACCCCCCAGTAACTGTACAGTTTGGACTGATCAGCTCACCTGCTGCTAGCTCCTTCCCCATCCAGCAGCCGTCTGTACTCAGCGATCTCCATCTCCAGCCTGGTCTTCATGTCCAGCAGCACCTGATATTCCTGGCTCTGCCGCTCCAGGTCTGCCTTCAGCATCATTAGCTGTTCCTCCAGAGAGACCACCTGTTGCTGGTAACCCGCCAGACGCATGGCATAGCGGTTCTGAGTTTCGGCTAGCGTTCCCTCCAATCCTGCTTTCTGTTGGAGACAAAGCGAAGATATTCGGGTTAGTTGATGATCTCGATATGAACTGTAGATGGTTTTGGAGCGGTTTGATGCTCACCATGCTGAGCTGGGACTGGAGCTCGATTTCTAGGCTCTGTAGTGTTCGTTTAAGTTCTGTGATCTCTGTTTTGGATGTTGCCAGGGTTTCTGTGCTGGCTGTGACTTCTTTGGTCAATTCCTCGCTCTGCAGGGACAAGAAACTATCTCAAAACATTTTTCATACATTTATCTCTTACAGAATATTTTTGTTTGGTTTCTATGATATGGAGAAAAATGTTTTACTTCATAATAAAAGTTTTAAATTACAATTTTTTAGCAAACAATATTTCCTCTTAAAACTGTTTATTTTTTATCTTTATAACTTAAGTTTATATTTTTAAGTTTCTGTTATAAAGTTAGATGAAACAAACTCCTGATTGGTGCAGTTCTTCATGCAGCCACTAGGTGGAAACAGAAACTTTCTTGTTTCAGGATTACAAGTGTACTTGTTCTGATGGCTCACCTTGGCCTGGAACCAGTTTTCTAATTCTTTGCGGTTCTTATTTGCAACGCTCTCATAGTGTTCTCTGATTTCATTCATGATGGCTGTCAGATCCTGCTGGGGTGCAGCTTCCACCTCCACATTGACCTGACCGCTGACCTGTGACCTCAGACCCAACATGTCCTGCAGGAAGATACAGATCATATATTTTTTAAACCACATTACATACAAATATTTGGATCTATGTGGAGACGTTCTGTAGGGTTATCTCACCTCTTCATGGTTCTTTTTCAGATAGATGAGCTCCTCTCTCAGAGACTCGATCTGCATTTCCAGGTCAGATCTTGCAAGGGTCAGTTCATCCAGGATCCTCTTCAGGCCAGCAATGTCAGCCTCCACACCCTGGCGCATGGTCATCTCAGTCTCGTACCTGATCACATGATCACATGAAATAACCATTTTCTTTAAAACAGTTCAAAGATCGTCCAGCTGAGGGCTTCTGCGCTGGTTAGCTCAGTGCAGACACCAGCAGAACAGAAACAAAAGAAAACTGTTTCCCTGCTGCATCAATTAATCAGACTCACTTGACTCTGAAGTCATCAGATGCCAGCTTGGCATTATCGATGGACAGGATAATGTTCCCTTTCGCACAGGTGGCCTCAGTTATCTGAAAAACAGAAGGACAGGTTTGGTTAAAGAATGGATTTGAATAATTTGGTAGCAGAACTAGTTGGATCAAACTACAAATAAAAACATGGAAATGAGATTCAAATGTGGCTGTGGCCTTGGAGTGTTCTGGGTGTTCAGAATGATGAGGCCTCAGACTTTACTGGGTGTGGTCGCTCCTGTTCCAGCCAACAAGAGGCAGATCCAGTTCCAGGAAGAATTCTGTCCCTTGTTTAGTCTTGAAACAAACATTTCTGACCCCCCTCTAATTTTGCCTCCATATTGACTAAACAAACAAATATGAGCTCAGAACCAGAGCCTGATCTCACCTTGTCCTGGAGGTCGCTGATGACGCTGTAGTAAGCTGAGTAGTCTTGACCTGCTGGCTTGGCCTTGTTTTCCAGAAACTGACGGATCTTCAGCTCAAGCTCGGCATTGGCCGCCTCCAGCTTGCGGACCTTCTCTAGGTAGGAGGCCAGTCGGTCATTCAGGTTCTGCATGGCGGCCTTCTTGTTGTCTGAGATGTCTACTGCATCAGAGAGGTTGAAGCCTCCCCCTGCAGAGGAGGAAAAGCCTCCACCAAAACCACCAGAGGAGAAACCTCCACCACCACCAGAGGAGAAACCTCCACCACCACCAGAGGCAAAGGATCTGGAAGCCACGCTGCTGGAGATCCGGACCCCGGCACCCCCGGAGCCGCCGTGTACGCTAGGGGACTTCATGGAGGATAGGCGGCTCCCACCAGAGAAGGTGACAGATCGATTGGAGTACATGGACATGGTGAAGGAGTCTGCCTGGTCTGGCTGGAGACAAGGAGAGAATGTAAAATATGATGGGTTGAGCTTCTTTTATGCATATCCAGAGGAGGCGAAAGAGGGGGAGGAAGAGGGGAGGAGGGGAAGGTTTCAGGTGTCCCCCTCCCCCTTCCTCCCCAGCCCTTTCTCTCCCCTGCTCGCCTTAGGCAGGTGGTAACAAACATCATCAAAGCAGGAATCTCGAGTATTTTAATTTGTTGCGCCATAACTTCACCTGCGGGCCATTAGATGACAAGAAGACAGAACCAGTTTCCTGTCAGACTCAAAACTCCCCATCCCCGATCCACCTGGTGTCCTGTCATCTAGTCCCAACCCGCCTGTGTCGCTCCGGGCCCTGCAGGTCTGTACACACACACATAAGCACGCACGCACGCACGCACGCACACACACACACACACACACACACACACACACTAGCTTTGTGAACTAACTAATTATCTGGTGGGGAAAGAGCCTGAGTTGGTGTGAGCTTTTGAGATTCTGCTAGATATAGTCAGACTCACCATGACCCCTACATGTAGGCTGAGGGAGGCCATTCTCTCATCCATCAGATTAAACCCCAACGTACAGGCACCAAGATGGGGGCAACGACTATTCCCACCCCTGCTTGGCGTTTATCAATAGGGTGGTATAGTGTCCAACCCTTCCCGAGGAAACTGGATCTGGAGCCAGAGCCTGACTACTTAGCAGAACCTCTCAATCTCACACCAACTCAGACTCTTTCCCCACCAGGAAGTTGACATTCCATATACTGAGAGCCAGCTTCTGTAGCTGAGGATCAGACCTCCAAGGTCCCCACCTTGTGCTAACGCTCATCTCATAACGCACCCTACCAGTTTGGACCCACCCACAAATGGTGAGCCTATGGAAAGAGTGACCCATTTATTATCTTCAGGCTGTGCAAGGCTGGGCTCCATGAGTGAAAGCCAAGCCACCAGGTGCCTGCCAAAGTGTGCCACCTCCAAGCCTGCCTCCAGAGGGAGGCCTCAGTAACAAGTGCCCGGGCGAGGAAATACTTTTCATTCACTATGATCACTATAAGGGTCTGTGGACTGCACTTCATTTGATCCCTCATCTAAGACCTGTTTTTCATGTGTTAGGTTACCAGAGACATACAACCTCAGACAACTTTGCTCCTAGAGTCCTAGGGTTGACTCTAAAAATTAATCAGCGGAAGATTTCAACCTGTGATCTAATGATTCCTGTCTGAAGGTTTCCAGTGATTTTGAAAATATTGAGCTAGAACACACACAGAGAGAGAGAGAGAGAGAGAGAGAGAGAGAGAGAGAGAGAGAGATAGGTATTGGCTGCTGTTAAAGGATGGGGTATAGCAACAGTATCATCAGCTTGACACAAATGGAAATTGATCCTTTAATGACTAATAATCTCACCCAATGAAAGTATATATAAATTAAGCATTTTAACTAAGCATTAAAACCTGCCTACCTGGTTACTCCACATACATATTTCATGAGCATTTTTTTACTCAGAATTACCCCTGAAGGACTTAGTTGTTCGTCCTTTTATCAAAACTTATTTTGAGCCCAAGAGGGTTAACCCTCTGTAATCGAACAGATCAAACACTGCACTGAGACTTAAAGGGAACTTTTCAGACACTGCCTGGACCAGTTGAGGCACCAGTACACCATCAACTGTCTGTTGTTCAGACTGTTGATGGTGTACTGGTGCCTCAACTGGTCCAGGCAGTGTCTGAAAAGTTCCCTTTAAGTCTCAGTGCAGTGTTTGATCTGCACTCTTAGAAAATTCTGTAAATTTACGGCAGAATTCCAACAGTAACATACCGTTTTTTCCAAATTACGGTAGGATAATGTTAAATCTGATGTTTTTTTTCTGTTGAATTATGACAGCCGGAAAATTACGGCAAAAAAACGGTCTATTTCCTTTGAAGCACATTTTTGAAGTTCTCAACTTTAACAATCAGCTATGTTGAAGAAGAAGAAAAAGAAGACAATCAGTGTTCATCCTCCAACTTGAAAGCTTCTAAAGGGTAAGTTTATCACTTCTAAGAATGTAAATAGATAATCAGAAACCCACTTGTAAAAGTTTAGCTTACTTAAAAAACATGACACGAAATGAAACATCACTTGGACCATAGTGATTTTAGGAGTTTTATGGTGGAAAGTTAAATATTTATTTTTAAAGGTGTGGCAATCGATGTTTCTGAAGAACCGCCCACTCAACGTTCTTTACAAACGACAGACAGGAGGATGTTTACACCTAACATAAAATCCCCAGCAAGCATTCCATACTTGAAATGTCGCTGTGAAGTCCATTTCCAAACTGTGTAACCATGAGGACATATCTATAAGACAGAATCTGTTTAGAAAGAGTATAGAAAATCTGACTATAGAAATAACTGTCAGCTGTTAATGATAACATGTCAGAAAAACTCACCCATTCTGCAATGATTGCAGAGCACCTTGATTTTACAGACACCTCAAATGGCCTAATAGCATTACAGGGTGCCTTTGTGATGGAATCCTTCATTGTGCATTTTTCTATTGGTAGAATAAGGAAGTCCAGCAGCTGCTTTATAATGTCATGATAGACTATGGACTATTACATCTTCTTCTCTGAAGACTGTTGTTGCATCTGGTGGAGTGGCAAATTCCTGGCTTTCACATTCATTGTCTTCTGGGTCATCATGCACAGTCTGATCAAGGCCAATCACCGGGCAATCCTCTAAGGACATTCCATTTGGGAGTGTAACACCAGACCTGTAAATATGAAGAAAAAATATTAACACATCACCTGGAGAACATCGCATTCTTCCAATCACTCAAACTGGCAGCTTTTCACACATTCCAATGGTTCAGCATGTGATGAACTTGAGCATTACTGAGCTTTTACTATTCAATAGGATGTTGGTGACAGACATCACATCTCCATGTGTTTGGGGCACAGCCTGGAATGTGAAACTAAAGCCTGATTCATACTTCTCTGTCAGCTTCGCAAGGGAAAGACACGCACGGTGTCACGCTGCCCCCTTCACAACCCTCAACGTCCTCTGTGGGAGGACCACACACACACTCAGGCCAACCGAACTCCACTACCCAGCATTCCCAGTGCCAGTCTTCCGGCCCACGTCACCCACCGCATCTAAATAAGAAAGTAGAGCTCAACACCAAACCACTCAGTCATCGTTCTAACCGAACTGTGCTCCAAGTTCCGACCAGATCCAACCCGATCACTCAGCCCGTTCTGACCAGATCAGCCCGAGCTACTCGCCCTGCCGACTCAAAGTAAGTCAGCTTGTTACCTTTTGGAGCCGCCGTGCTCTCCAGTCATTATACGGTTTGACTCCTAGAACAAACCGCGTGTCAATCTGCCTGGCGTCAGTCACTCCGCAGTTGGGTTTAAAAACACGCTACATCCCGAACTCTCGCTCCGGTTCAGCTCAGCTCGAGTCAGGCCTTACAGGTTGACTGAGTCCAATACTGACCCAGCGGAGTTCGAGTCCCTGCAATCGCAGGTGGTCCAGATGGGAGTTACTGTGGGACGCCTAGCTGACAAGGTGGAGTCCATAACCACAGTAGTTCTCCAGCTTTCCGCTGCGCAGCAGCAGCAGACCTCCAGAGAATGGGAAATACCGATTCTCAGCCTCCCGGAGAAGTGGGACGGCACGCACGGCTCCCCTGAGGGAATGTTAGCCACGCTCGCCATGACTTTCGAGTGTCAGCCCCACCGCTATGCCACAGCCCGCTTCCGCGTGGCGCTACTCACCTCCCTCCTCACCGGCTCAGGAGTGGGCTGCAGCCCTATACAACAATAAATCGGAGGCTTGCAATGACTGTGGCCGAAATGAGGAGGGCTTTTGTTCCCCCCAGCGGCGAGATATCGACGGAGGCCCAACTACTTCTGCTCCGACAGGGGAGTCAGACTGTAGCCCAGTACACGTCCAGGTTCCGAACTACGGCTGCCAAACTGCAATGGGGGGATGATGCTGTGAAAGCAGTCTATCTTGAGGGGCTCTCCCCACGTATCCGAGAAGGGATGATAGGGAGGGACACCCCAGAGACCCTGGACGAGGCGGCCGACCTCGCTCTTCAGATGGACCTGCGTCTTTTTACCTGTCGATCCGCTGAACCGCCTGTAACGACGACCTCAGCACCAGACCTTCCTCGCCCAGTCAGCTTGTCCCCCAATGAACCCATGCAGCTGGGACACCTGAACCCAGAAGAGAGAGAGAGATGCTATACGGAGGGGCTGTGCGCCTACTGTGGTGCTCCTGGCCATCGGAATATCACCTGTCCCCTCCGGCTGGGAAACGCAGACTCCAAGTAGGCAGCAGCAGAGAGGTCCTACTTGGAGTAACCAGAGCCCCCTCGACCCGCACCCTGCTCCCAGTCACTCTTCATCTTCCCCAGGGACCCGTTGAGCTGGAGGCGCTCCTGGACTCCGGAGCAGCCGACTGCTTCATGGATCAAGATCTAGCCTCTCGACTTCAGGTTCCCTTGCCCTCCCTACGCCAAACCATTACCGTCACCTCCGTGGATGGAACCCCTCTCAGACCCTATCCAATCCGCCAAGAGACAGTTGGTCTCCGCATGGACATACTCCCCCACTCCGAGACTCTCCGATTCCTCATTGTGACAGCTCCTTTGTCCCCCTGATGCTGGGTCACTCCTGGTTCCTGCGCCATAATCCCCAGATCTCCTGGTCGTCTGGTCGGGTGCTTACCTGGGGTGCTGCCTGCCATTCTTATCGACCTCCTCAACCCGACTCAGAGCCTGGCCACCCGGTTACTGAGGACATTGATAGCTCACAGTTCCCCTCCTGTTATCATGACCTGGCTCAGGTATTTTCAAAGAGTCCTACCACCATCTTGCCTCCTCATCGCCCTTATGACCTGGAGATAAAACTCCTGCCCGGTTCTGTTCCACCACGAGGCCGCTTGTACTCCCTGTCTCCAGCAGAGACTCGGGCCATGGATGCCTATATTGCGGACGCTATTCAACATGGGTTCATCTGCCCTTCCACCTCGCCAGGAG